ATAGCCGCCAAGCGGACAGAATGATTGGCGTCCACTTTCAATCGAATACCCTTTGCATCAAGAATATCGTCAAAAAATGTTGGTATGGCCATGTCCTTCATCCACTAAAGAAATTAACGTATTCGATACTTGCTGAGCCGTGTAATGGATGGCGTCGAGGCATAGAAGACCAATAAAAGCTTGATTGATACGGCCAGAGATTTTAAATGCATAGGCGATCCAGCGATATCCGTGCTTAGACGGTGGAAAAGAGAATGGCTTCAGGATATTGGCATCAAGTAGGAAGACATGGAAATACCATACCTTAGTCGCCAGTGGAGTAACCCAAACCAATAGTGTCTAATAGCGAGCTGTTAGAAAATGAAGAGGAATTATGACTGCGTTATGAATGGAATGGTTTTCGACTGTCGCCCATTCGAGCAGCGATCTACATATTCTGGGTCATTCATTTAATAATTTTTGTCATGTCACTTATGTCACATATTATTTCACGCCTTCGAGCATAGAGAATAGTATTTTAAGCCGTTTAATAAGCCGTTTCTTCCGAGAACATTCGCTCAGGTGGTGTATTTGGTTTGGATTTAGTTATTTTTGAAATCTTTAAAAGAGACCAAAATGAGACCAATCGGCTATCTTCGTCATATTATTGAAATATTTCGATAATTTGATGCTTACCCTCATCTTTCAATATACGACGCCTCTCTCTTAAAACTAAATTATAAAAGAAAACTTCTACTATACAATCTGGATACAATACAAACCTGGATTCTCTCTCAGTTCATCGATTTAAACAAGATTTAATTTATATCTATAAGATTCTCTTTGGTCATGTTAAACTAGATTGTTCAAAATATTATAATTTTAGGCTAAATTTGAATCTAACAAGAATGTGCTAAAATTACTAAAACCTATTTAAGGATTCGAAACTAAACTACGGATTTATGACTTCTTTGTATTACTAATTACTGGAATAAATTACCGAACGATATAGCTTGTGCTTCATTCTTAGCTATCTTTAAAAAATGATTAGATAATATCATTTACATTATTATTTAAAAAGTTCATATCATGCAGGAAGTATGAAATCTCGAATTTTACCATCTGATTATATATTATACTATATTATTTTGTATTTTTTTCTTTATTTCCTCTTTAAATTGTTAATTTTTGTCATATTTTCTTTTTTTTTTACCATTATATTTGTTATTTTACTTATTATTAATAAAAGCACATGGCACTTGTCGCCCTGCTTGGCTTGTTTTCAATAAATAAATATTGTATTATTAACTTTATGTGAATTTTTGCTCGAACTATGAAGTGGCCTGATTCGGGAATTGCCAATTTTGGCGCCATAGTGAGAACGATTGTCTAGTATGGAACTTATGTTGATAAAAATTTAATACAGCCGATGAATTCGATGTAATTAAATGAAGACCTCGGCAAAGCTAAAAAACGCTTTCGAATCCAGTTGACTCCGATTCCAGTCCTGCCAACCGTAGAACCAAGTATTTAAAACTAAGTCATATGAGCCATTTCATTCTCCGTTGACTGCGATTGCATCATATTTTGGGAGAGAATCCTTTGAAATGAAGTTCGGCAAAGAACCTAATTTTTGAAGGCTTAGGCCATATGAATGACAGAGATATAGCTGAACCTTCTTTTGAAGCTGATGCAGATTATCCAATCTTCATGCGATTACAGAGTTCATTAGTTCTTCTAGAGAGAGCTGGTCGATCTTTCGCGTACTGTGACTTCTTTTCGCCCTCAATTATCTTTTATCTTTTCTCTAAAAGCGCTAAGTTCTGGCTAGGCTCTCTCCACTGGATTGAGTGCCCGACAAATTTTGCCAGAAATTTGCTTGCAACGAAAGGTGAATTGCCGGCATCACCAATTTTAAAACATAGGTTTTCTTCTATAATGCTCCGAAATGAAAGCAACAAGCGCTGAGCCATTCTCCTCCTGAAAATCTCGAATTGTTCGAAACGATGTTTGAAATGATAATCAGCAAGCCTTCGGCCATTCCACTCTTCGTTTTACTGACAGACCTTAAGTGGAATTAACAGCCTCAATTATTTAGTTTCATCAAATGTCGCCGTATGCGCTTTTTTATTTTTAATGATGCTTATTTGAATTGGAAATGAATGATACGACGATTAGCAATGGCCGACATTTTGCTGCTTCATTTCATAAAACCAAGACTTATTTTTTTTCATTTTTTGGGTGTTTTGTCAAAAAAGTTTTAAGGAATTTTAGAAAAGCAGAGGAGATTCCTCGTTAAATTTGCTGATTGTTTTTTTTGCTAAATTTCTTCTAATCTTTAAGAAATTCTGAAATTTAAAATCAAATTTTAGATTTCGATTTTTACCATAAAATTTTTTAAATAAACAAGTATAATTTAATAAATCATTTGTATTTGTTTATTTAGATGGAAAGCATTAATAAATTTCTTCAAACGGCCGCGATTATTGAGGAACAAATCGATCGAACAATTGAAAAACTCGACAATTTTGATGAGAACGATCTTGAAATATTGCGGCGAAAGCGAATCGAAGATTATAGAAGGGAAAATTTGCAAAAGCAGGTTATATCGATAAGCGAACTTGTAGTTCAAAAATTTATTTAAAAAGTTGAAAAGTTCATCAGTGCTGTAGTAAACGCACCTTTAAAAGGCCCAAAAATGCGGATGGTGGTAATGCTCCGGCTTCGAAAGAAAGCAATATTTCGGTCATTAGTATATGTTCTCCAACTTTGTACTGAGGTGACGGTGACGATAAGAATTCGACGCTGGGAGCATCATGCACGTAGGAGAACGCGTGCAAACTGTCCTAACCAAGCTGAATTCGGGCCGGGATGCGTTTGAACAGATATTTACGCAAAGAAGGGTGCTGGAACATCGTTTCACACACCAGCAACTTACCGTCACATATTTTGTCGATTCATCTACTTTCGATTCAGTTGATGAAGCAGCGCGTTGGAGAGTGATGGAATATGACGGTGTTCCAGAGAAGATCGTTCGTCTCATAAAGGCATTTTATCACCCACCGTACATCGGTATAGGTCTGCATATATGGGGGACTAATGGACCCTTTCGAAATAAGAATTTCCTCCGTCAAGGATGCTTCCTCTCCCAATAGATTGGATAATGGACATCGCTTGTCGACACTCAAGAGGTGTGGAAATTAGTCCAGAATATAGTATCGCATTGATTTCGAATGTTCCTTTTTACTGACAGTTATGATGAAATGTAAATAATGCTAAACAACGTGTCAACAATTGCAGCTAGAATTGACCTCAGAATCAATGTAAATAAAACAGAAGTCTTTTTGTCTTATATATAAGAAGTTGATAAAATACTTATTTTTATTGTCGGTTGAGGATATGCCCGATTTCAAATATCTTGGATCCACTCTAATCTCAAATGGCCAAGCAAAGGATGAAATTGCAACTCGGATAATAGCAGCTAGAAATGCGCACTTTCGATCGAAGAAATTTTTATGGAACTGTCGCGAAATTATCATAAAAACGAAAATCCGCATCTGTATAGCTGCGCGTCTATACACCCGCGATTCTTTCGATCTTGGTATATAGCTGCAAGACATGGGCAATGAAAGTGGAGAAAGCTGAGAATATTAAGAAGTTATCTGCTTTTGACCACTCATGTTTAAGATGCATTTTACTGGGTTTCTAAGAGGATGAAAGCTCAGAAGGTTACATTCCACCTTCGCTTAAACTCCACTTATATTAACAGTACCATTATAGAGCGTTGTTTTCGGTGGTTAAGGCGCATTCTTCGCCCACCACAGGAGTTGATACATATTTCATTACTTGATAAACCCTGTAATGGGTGGCGTCAAAAGCGAAGTAGACCAGTCAAGATCTGGACTGAGTCGGGAAAATTTTGAACATATAGGGGGACCAGCGATATATGGACCTAAACGATGGAAAAAGGGGTAGATTCTTTTATTGTCGACATGGCATCAGATCGCGCAGCCTAGAAACGTCTTATCCTTGTAGTCAGTGGAGCTAGCCTAACCAATAATGATAACAGTTGGAACCGCCCATTATTAGGAGAAGAAAAAAAAGATTTCCTATTAGCATTGCATTATATTTGTTGCAATTGGTATTCTTGATTTCACTGCAGACTTGGTATATTTAGGATTTAAGATCAGTTGCTTTGATTAATCAGAAGATTTCTTAGGGCTCTGTGATAGTCGATGGGCAAATAATTGTATTTCTTTTAAAATTTGGCACAAATTTCCAATTAATGAAAAAATATTTCCAATTAATGAAAAAATATGGATATGTGCGGGTGTATATCATTGTTTTAATATGTCAAATTTGTTTTTGCAGTTTTATGAAAAAATGTTTTTTAAATAATTATTATGCCACATAAATGTTTATAGACAAAACAACATTAGTTTCAATGAGCATCCTCAATTTTTCTTTAGAAAAATATGTTTAATTATCAGAATTCACATGATATAATCTTCAGAATAATTTTAGGAAGATTTAAGAGAAAAAATATTTCAGAGGGTCGGTGAAAAAATATTTCTTCTAGAAGGTCGATGGGAAAAATATTTATTCTATAGGAAGTCGATGCAAGAAAGGTTATGAAACCCTGGATTAGTCATCTTAGAGTTTAAATAGGGCTTAAATTATAATAGGGCCTAAATTTGTTTGCAGAAAATCAACAATGGACGGTAGAAAGTCGATGAAGATTAGTTTATCGTAGAATAGAAATTTTTGGAAAAAAATGAGTTGATTAAAATTCCAATTTAATTAGCAACTTTTTATTTTCTTGAATTGTGGATACGAGATAACCATGTGGTTTTTGCTGGAATCTCGAGCGTTAGGCTTGTCTCGGAGATCCTCTCGCACATCTTTGTCCTGAGTAACTCCCTTGCAAAAATTTTTCAATATACTAACAGCAGCAGAACGACTAGAAGTGTTGAGTGCTAACCAATTATACCGTTTATCGAAGAGATTAAGAGATTTCTTAGATGTGGTTAAATAATGGACACGGAAAATATGAAGAACTTCCCGATGAACGAGCTTTCTTTAATGCGGTTAAAACTTCTCACAAAGTTGTTTGCCACTTTTATCTTCCATCGACAGAACGGTGTAAAATTCTTCATCAACATATGCAAAAGATTGCTCCGAAATATTTAGAAACCCGATTTGTTTGCGTCAATTCGGAAAAGGTGAGCGACTTATCTTTTTTTATTTCAAATTAATAATTGTCGGATTAATTAATTCAATATTACGGAAGCTACAAAACAAGGAGAAAAATGGAATTTAATAAAATTGAAGCTAATTAAATTTGATTATATTTTAAATTTTTTTATAAGTTCATCCAACAGTTTATTATTTCCATATTTAGTTTCCATTTATCGTAAAAAATTTAAATATACGCATGATTCCAACTGTTGCTATAATTATTGAATCAAAAACCGTCGATTATATTCGTGGATTTAATGATCTTGGTGATACCGATGAATTTAAAACTCAAACACTGGAATGGAGGCTTGCTGAGTTTGTTATTTTTAGCATTTATTATGTACTTGCTTTGCTGAGTTTGTTTATTCATTAAAATTTCTTTCCTCAGATCAGGTGTTATTGATTATGATGGTCCTTCTGGTCTCGCTGGTTGTGGAACAAATGTGGCCAAATTTTCTAAAGTATCCGCCAATACGCAAAGGAAGATGATAAGAAATGGAAACAATTATGGTTCAGATGATGAATGACTACTACTTTTTGCATTTTTTTCTGAAATTTTGAGAAGTGAAAAAAATGAATTTCGATGATTTTCTGATTTTGTCAACATGCCAATAGTCTATATGAAAATCCTGCCATTTTTTAATTTTTCTTTTAATTTCACTCTTCAATGGTATATATGCTTGGAAATTGAACTTTCAGTTTCTTAAATATGGAATAAATTAATAGTACCTAAACCATCTTTTGTTAATATTCCGAAATGTACATATCTGTACTTCTAAAATCTATGTTTTTGCTTTGAATTTTTACTAGTCTTTTATTTATCAATATATGAAAGAGCGTGCATTTCGTCCCCAAAATCCAGATATTTGTTTTATTTTCTTTCTTTCTTATTATTTTTAATTTAAAATCATCAGCTATTTGATTTGATTCCTTTATTATTATTCTTTTGTTTAAATATATACTTTTTAAAGCCTTTTTTAAGGGCGTAATTTTATAAAATAATATTCAATTACATCAAGAATGCATATTAAGAACTTATCGAATTATTGCCATTGAAAAGTAAATATCATTCAAATCTAGACTGGATAATGAGCATTGCTTGTCGGCATTCAAGAGATGTAAATGTGCAAATCAGTCCAGAGCATAGTATCAAAGACCTTGAATATGTCGATGATGTAGTCCTTTTTGCTGACAATTATAAGGAAATGCAAACAATATTAAACAACATATCAACAACTGCAGCGAGAATTGGGCTCGAAATCAATAAAAATGTGTTTTCGTCTTATACACAAGATGCTGATAAAATACCTATTTTTATCAATTCATTACCGGTTGGGAATACTCTTAATTTTAGATACTTTGGATCCACTCTAATCCCAAATGGTCAGGCAAAGCATGAAATTGTAACTCGGATAACGACAGCAGGAAATTTTTGTCCGGTTGATGAAACTTTTATGCAACATCCCAAAATCACCATAAAGACGGAAATCGGCGCCCATATATCTTCTATTAGCTCGATGTTGCTATATGGTTGCGAAATGTGACCAATGAGAGTGGAAGATATTAAGAAGCCATTAGCCTTTGAACACCCATGTCTAAGATATATTTCACGTCGAACGAATAAAATCGCACATGGTTGTATCTATCTTCGCTCAAATACCTGTATATAATATTATCACAGAGCATCGCCTTCGCTAGTTAGGGCATTCTCCGTCGTCAACCACAGGAGTTGACGCATACTTCGTTAATCGCTAAACTTTCTAATGTTTGGTGCCAAAAGCAAGGAGGGGGACGAGAAGCCAGGCAAGACCTGGACTGATACAGTCAGGAAAGATTTTGAACGTATAGGGGAACCAGCGATATATGAACTTAGACGATGGAAAAATGAATGGCTTCTACAATATATTAATAGCGATGTAAATTCCCTAAATTCATTGCCGGTTGAGGAAGTGCCTGATTTCAAATATCTTAGGTCCACTCTAATACCAAATGGACAGGCAAAAGATGATATTACAACTCGGATCACGGCAGCTAGAAATACGTTCTTCCGGTTGATAAAACCTTTATGGAATCGTCGTGAAATCACCATAAAAATAAAAGTCCGCATCTATATTGCTGTGATCCGTTAGATCTTACTATATGGTTCTGAGACATAGCCAATGAGAGTGAAGGATATCAAGAAGTTATCTGTCTTTGACCACTCTTGTCTAAGGCACATATTACGGATCCGTCGAGCGGATAAAATTTCACAAGATCGCATCTACCTTCGTTCAAATACCACTTGCATAAATTATCACAGAGCGCCACATCAGTTGACGCATATTTCGTTATTTGCTAAACCGTGTGACGGTTGGCGTCAAAAGCGAGGTGGGCTAATCAAGACCTGGACTGATACGGTGAGAAAAGATTTTGAACGTATAGGTGGACCAGCAATATATGGACTTAGACGATGGAAAAAGGAATGGCTTCCATTACTGTCGACGATGGCATCAGACCGCGCCGCTTGGAAGCGTCTTATCCTTGTAGCCGTTGGAGCAAGCATAACCAGTAATTGTGGGAGTTGTTAGAAGAAGAAAAATAGCGATGACATCGGACCGAATAGCTTGGAGAGACGTCTTAGCCTTGTAGCCAGCCTAACCAGTGATGGTGATTAGAAGAAGAAGAAGATTAATCAAATCTATATTGGCATTGTTTTTAGTCTCAAAAAGTTAATACGAATCTAGTTGGGAATAACAGATGGAATTAAGAGAATAATCATTTTCAGATTACTTTTCAATAAAATAGCATTTTTAAGAAAAAATTTAATCCATTTAAACCATAAAATCGTCCTTTTTTTAAATCATCGTGAAAAAAATTTAAATACATGAAACGACAGAACGACAAGTAATGTGGTGTGATTCAAAATAAACTGAATTTTCTAGCAGATTAAATCTTAGTTTGTTTCTTTTATGCTTTCAGACAGGCTTTTTTTGTTTTTGGTAGGTTTTATTGTTAAACTTACTTCTTTGAAAGTAAATATTTTTTTAATTTTTATTCCTATATGAAGATGAAATAACTTGTAAATATTAATCCAATGGCTTTTCATATACGTAGATTTTGTAAAACTAGAGGAATATTTTAACGCATTAATCCCTTAGCATTCGCACAGATAAAGAATAATGCTAATAACTATTCTAATCGTCCACCATTATTTTATCATACTTAGTTTACTATATTTTAAGTGAATAATTGAATATATATATATATATATATATATATATTTAGAATGATAAAAATATGAGCTTTTACACAACAAAAATATTATTTAAAAATCCCTCAGGATTTAAATCTTAAATTCAGAAGTTTAACCAAATAACATCGCATTTTTATCAAAAACTCAAAATATCCAGGAATTTGTACAGCATTAGTCACATAATCATCGTTTTTCTACAACTTTCTCCTACCTAAAAATTGAACTGACAAATTCCTTTTTTGCGGAAAAATCCTTGAATTTAAAACATTCTTCGAAACTTTTTACATTAATAAAATGAAATCTTTAATAATATGAATTTGTTTTTATGGTGATTTCGCGACGGCTCCATAAAGGGCGTCAACCAGAAGAATGCATTTCTAGCTACTGTTATCCGGATTATAATTTCGTCTCTTGCCCGGCCATTTGGTATTAGGGTGGATGCAAGATATTTAAAGATATTTCTCTGGACTGGTTTAATAATACATTTTTTGAGTACCGATAAACGTCTTCATATTCAAGACTATATTGTTCCATTATTGATTCTGTTTCGTCTCGCCGCGACCGTTCCGAATCTACGGAACTGCTGACATCTTACACTTCTTGACACGCACACTCTGGCAGCTCGATCGAATAGTTGGGATGTTTCATCTGAGACACAGTTTGCCTTCTTCTAAGTCGTTTATCTTAAGTTAGATTTGACGGACTCGTGGAAGATTGAAGGATTTTAACAAGGATCGATACTTCCCGGTAGTTCCAGAGATATTAAGGATGTTGAAGTTTTCGATTTCATTCACATCATGGCTCTAACCATGAAGTAGGAACTCATGCGGGTTGCCAGTTTCAGCGACTATTTACTAATCTATAGTGTCTGATTTTTGATTATTGAACGAAGTCCATAAATGTCCTCAGCATAACTAAAAGCATATATTGGTGGCAAAAAGCGCATGGCCGAAAAGACGTTTTTCATTGGCACATCGTGTTCAAACACCATATTTGCCACCAATATATGCTCTTATCACTTCGAGGCATAGGACTTCGCCGCTAGTACGTATAGCCAGACGACTTTTTTAACTGGATCAAAGTAGTTCCCTTAGTCTGAGAATTTATATGGGCATTTTTAATACCATTGTTGCTGTACTTTAGACCGATTTGCATGTTCATCGCATGCTGAGTTAAGCAAGCGGAATACACGAAAATGTTTACGATCCATTCGCTATAGGTAGGTTCTAAAGGATTCTAAAGTTTTTATCAGATTGAATAAATAAACTATTAAATTGATTATTTCGATAGAAAATTCCGCATCCAGAGATTTATTTAAAATCATGAAATGAAATTAACAAAGTTGCATCTTACAATACTTTCTCTTTCTCCATGCCTCTGATGTCCCCTTAGTCGCACCCGAAATCCGTTCAAAGTACGTTGTATTCGCTATACATTTCATTTACAATCCAGTAATATTTCCCTAAAACAAAAATTCATTATACTGCCTGCGAAATCTCGATCACCATGAAAAAACAATCCTTCTGTTGAAATGCCTCTGCTTGCCATGTTTTTTTCTCCCTGAAACTTTCATACGCCTCCACTTCTCTCGAACTCCATTGTACCATATTGTCATAATCAACTATCTTTTTTTTTCTAATAACTCTCACCGTCACCGGTTAGGTTGGTCCCACTGGAGCGTAAGATATTTCCAAACTGTTCAGTCCGATGCTGTCTCTAACAGTAATAAAAGAAATCGTGAACCACTTGATCTTCCGTAAAAATAATGAACCTTGCAGTCATCAGCATAGAACATATTTTGAAAAATAAAGCGTCAATGGAACTGTCTTGAGTGAACTGTACCCATGGATTGTATCAGAAAACGATATTAATATGAGTCATCTGAAAACGACCATTCGTAATCTAATCGCCCATCTATAAATCTCCGCAAATACCAAAATTATTAATAACAGTCGACAACTTATTGTGTGAAAGCTTATCAAAGGCCTTGGTCAAACCTAGGTAGACAACAGAAACCGAACTGATCTCGACCAATGGCAGTGGACCATCATAGAGAATGGCCAGTAAGTAAACCGTTGCGAAATTAGAATGCATCCGGCAGAATCCATGTTGCTGAGGAGAGATTAATCTTTTGACTTCAAGGCAATATTTTATTTAACGGAAATCGTATATTTAAACGGAAATAAGTGATTCCAACATTTTATTCTCTACGCGGTTACGCTAAATATAAGAGGGACTCGGCCTGGACAGCACCGCATTGGGCCTCAAAGAAGGCCCATCCGCAGTCCGCTTAAAGTTTACCTAATTCAGCAAACCCCCTCAAATTAAATTCTTTGAAATAAAAAGTAGCAAATCCATTAGGGAAATCTCGGCATTTGGCCAAGAATAATTATTCAGTTGCAACTTACTATATGATATTAAAACGAAAATTTGAACAAAATTGTATGGTGCTCTCTCAAATTCCATGCTTTTTTCTCAATTTCTGCTCATTAATCGCATCTATTGAAAATGTGTTCGAATGCAATGAACTGATTCAGTTGTGCAGCTTTCGTTGTTTTTCGAAATTGTTTGAATTGAGTTTACACGTGGAAAGAAGTGGAAGCGTGATATTTCACGCTTTTTTGCGTGGATCTTGCTCGGTGTTGCTTTGTTCGCTAATCATGTACGTTTAAAATGCGTGCAGAGTGTCGTAAAACAAGCTTCTAAGTATCGAATCTACTAATTTGTTCGTAATTTAATTTATTTATTTGGCTTCTAATAAAGCAATAATTATTTACTAATTGCAGCGCAAAACGTGCGTAGCATTTCCTCATTGATTACTTGCCTTCGCCCTTTTTTATAGGCCTAAATATTATTTTTTCACTTTTTATATTTGCTTTTAATAAGTACAATAAAAGTAATAAATCAATTTTATTGATTTTTCATTGGTGATCACGTTTTCGACGTTTGTTTTCGCGTTTAAATCCGTGGCAAATTTATTGCAGTACATTTTTTCTATTAGTGTGCATAGTGGAATTTCAAGCGAGTTTTACGTGGAATTCTTTGAGTAATAAAGTTTTTTCATTAATTGCTAAAAAGATCGCTGAATTACGTAAATGTTGAAGGTAAAAAAATTTCGGCAAAAACTTTTTTGCACCAAGAAGTGCTTAGCAATTGATTTAACTTGATACCCTTGTTTAACTGCTTAAGGTTGCGCATTGCTTTGTACATTGCAAAAGGCTGTCGTGTTTTTCGTTAATAATACAGTTTTCTATTAGATTTACCGAAGTTCTATCGTCTTTTGATCGATTTGTTCAATGAAATCTGTCGATATATATTGATTATCTTGTTTCGCGTGAGGCTGGGAACCTATTTGTGCTGCGTGTCCGATTGGCTTTTCACTTAGTAAAGGAGTGTCGCCCTAGCAGTCAGTGGAGGCTTTTTTAAAAGCAGGTTTATTTTTCTCGGTGACAACTTTCAAATCTTAGCACTTCAGAAGGTGACCTGAACAACCAGTCATTTGTCTTGTCTGCTGCATTATATTTTAAAATTATTTTTCAAATTGGCCTTTTATCTTTTTTTTAGATCTTTTTTTGTGTAAATTAGTTTTAATTTTTATTTTACTCATTTATCACTCATTTCTAGTAAAATTGATGAAATGATTTCATCAATTTCTCTTCAATACATGGTTTGATTTAAAATATAAAAGAATATACTTTCGAACATTTTGATTTTTTGGTGGTTGATTTTCTCGCTTATTTTAACTAATTAAAGTAATCACATTTTTGCTTAATTAAAGTTGATTTCAGGTAAATTTAAAGTAAACTGAAATTCCACAGTAATATTTTGAGAAGAAAAGAAAAAGCATTTTCTCTCTACTGTTGTCCTAAAAATTTTTGCCGTTTTTGGTGCCTGGAATTGGGACCGCGTATTTCTGTTGCTGTCCATTTTGGTTGACATATCATTTGCATCGCCCTGATTTTAAATTTCTTTTCACCGCAAAAGCAGTCGGTGATTTTAATTTTTTTTGGGGCATTCAACGACATTGTAGAGCTATGGCACTTTTAATGAATTGAAATCGGGGCATGAAGCGACAGAGGCAATACGCAGTCTGTAAATAGCTTTCGATATTGATATATGTGAATAGATCCTTGATGGAAGCTGATCCAGAAGGAGTAATGCAAATGTAGTACAAGAACTTGAAACAATACTGTACATTACCTGAGGAGAAGCTTGGCGAGTGGGCACCTTGGGAATTGAGCATTAAATGAAAACAAATGAAAACATCAGATGTTTTGGAAATCTGTTATTCCCTGCCATTGTAAGACAAAATTGAGGCAAGTGACAGAAAAGACAAGGTGATGTTCCTCAGTCTCCATGCATAAAACCTATCTGCGTCCGAGGACTATGGTCGCTGTTTAGTGATCTGCTGCTGATTGATCCAGAGTGGTTCAGTTTTTTCAAACGTGTGTTTAAAGCATGGTGATTATATAGTAAAGGATTGAAAAAAGCCGATCGGCACAGCATAAAAGGCGTCATCATTCCACGCGACAGACCGTATAGACCGCATGTCAAAAATCATTGCAAAAATTGGAGAATTAAATATTGGAGTTCTCTCCTATCGATCATACTTTCCGGACCTTGCGCTAAAACCACTTCTTCCATTCTCTCTACAACTTCTTCACTGAGAAACGCGGATCCTACAACCGCCGTTCACTAGTTCCGGAGACTTATGCACAGATGGAATGTCCTTTGTATCAGAGATGCATGCTTGTTTTGTTTGGAAAATATTGGTTTTCAATAAAATCGTAATTGTAAAAAAGAGATAACACGGAACGGTAAGCATTTTTAGGATAATTTACTATTTTCCTACTTCGAAATCTTTTTTAGTCTTTTTTTGAAGTGTGAATTAACCTTTTCTTTTTTTATTAATTGCCAAAGACAAGAGTCCTCATCTGCGACAGTGTGGTTTCAGTTGCTATCTAAGTTGGACGTTATCGATTAACGTTGTTGCCTTCATCTTATTTTCGTAATAGTGCGCATTTGTCTGTATTCCCGCCATTTTCGTGTCGCGGAATGGTTTCGAAACTGATGCCCCTCATCTTCGGGTCAGAGGTCGTATTTTCTGTTTGGTCTGCTGCAGTGATTTCCTCATTGCACCAACAAGTTATTGATTGACCATTTGTGGACAGGAAGTGGGGCGAGTGCACGCAACATAACGATTGGTGGCTAGCAGAGGCTGTTTCCTCGCACTTTCATCGCTGTTGACCGATACATGTTGGTTTTTCGCTGATTTAAAAATTTTGAAGTTTATAGTTATGCACTTTTAAAAACTTCCGAAATGCAGTTTCGTCAGTTCTACGTGCCTGTTCCTCGTATATTTTTCTGTATTAAAACGATTCATATAATTTATTTCCACATTTTTGAAAAAAAAGCCGAATCGGTCGTTAGCTTCTTTTACTTGTCCTTTAATTTGTACTTTATCGTCATTTTCATTTTTCAAGGCGGTTCATCTCCCCTGCAAATTTCCCATAAGTCCCTTTCCCATTCCCATTAGTTTTCAGCTGCGAACTTAAGAATCCAGAAAAACCCCATTTCAGAATTATTTTAAATTTTTATTGTTCTGAAATCGTGCCGAACATCCAAATAATATCAAATAGAGAAAACGACATTAAAAAATTAAAGATAATTTTAATTTCACCCCTCATTTATTTGAATTTCTTTGACCTTTTTTCTTATGGGGCATTCTTTGTTATTGTTTTAAATAACGCGATTCAACCTGATTTCCTTCGCTAATTCCTCATAGTGAAGGTAACGAATGATTTTAATAATTGATTTGGCTTCGAAACTAATTCTCTCAATAATAAGTTCTACTTTTTCAAGAATCTTACTGTGGTAATGTTGAAGTAATTATTAAAATGTAAAGAGGATCGACCTTGTTGCGGTATTTCTTTGCATAACGTTACCAGTCTCTTCGGTTGTCATCGAATTGAATGAACCGGCGCTTTCTCTAGAAATGCCTTAAAATTTCAGGTTGCCGTAATTATTACTGCTTGCGAACATTTCTTTTATAGTCAACAAACAGAAATCTACTTACCATACCGAAAATTTTTTCATTAACAAAAAGTGCTTCCAATCATAATCGTTAATTTTTTTATTCGATTTTATCCTTTTTAATATCACTTATTAACATATCACTTGGCTAGTTATTACTCATTCAATAATTCGGCAATGAAAGAAATGGATGAAATTGAAAAGGAAAATAAGGAGAAGAGAAGCAAAGAAGAAGGAACTGAAAAGGAGGAAGGTGGAGAAAAGATAGAGAAAATTATTCATAGCCAAAACAATGCCCTCGTAGGAATGATTGAAGAGAAAATTAAGCCGAAGGGTCAAGTTGAAGATGTTGATCGAGTACCAGAAGAACGAGGAAAGGCGAGGGAACACAATGGAGCTGGTGAGTACATTTTTTCTATAAAGTAGCGATTCGTATCGCTTCACGTTTAAATTTCATATAAAAGCATTAGTATAAAATATACATATTTTTTGTGATGAAGATCGTGAAATTTTTATTTTTTGCGTATTCTTGAACATCACTTGAGAAGTGTGTTTTAGCGTCACCAGTTCCAGCAGATGACGCTGTGAAATTTACTCCGCAGTCAGCGAATGCCAATCGAGTAATTTTTATTTTAATATTCATTAATGCATAATTATTATTTATAATTAGTGAATAGGCTGCATATGCAGTAATGAATCTGACGATGTCGCATTTCATGAAATGATTACATGGTATTTTTTTAAAATTTTTGATACGTAATTCGTTATTTCTGACCTTATGCATTACATTTTGCATAGTATCCTGAACACTACTTGCATTCACTTTTAATAGCGAATAGTCATTATAATGTTGGTGACTCACAGCCACAAATAAAAAGTATAAAAAATATGTGCTTTGTGCATTCTGTTCGAAAGATTTTTCCTCACTGATATGTTGCAAATAAAGGATAAAGGAAAGGATAGAAGGATAGGATAAAAGAATAAAAGGATAAATTTTAACAATTTTTGAACTGATTATAGCAAAAAGATTTACTTGAAGATGCAAAAAATTGTTAAAATTTAAGTTTAAATTAAAACTTTAAATTCATATTTCAATTTAAACTTGGAAACCAGTATGCCAAATTGTCCATTTTTTTAAGGGAAGAAGTACTCGTCGCAGTAATCGAACGCGATATATGGATATTACATCTCAAATTGATATTGTAAGTGCGATTTTTATCATTTTTTGAGGAGTGGTGAAATGGAAATAATTACTTTTATACTATATAAAATGATGAAGATGATGAACAAAAGAAATTTTCTATTTTGGAAATATGACGATTTTTAATAAATTCCATTGCTTACCTTTCATTTCACCTTTTTTTAAGGATAGCTCTGACTTTTTTTAAATGATTTTGCAATAAAAAAATGAAAATTGTGAAAAATTTCTGAGGATTCCAAGGAAATTTTGGATTCGCTTAAATAAAATCACTACAAAGAAATATAACTGTAATCCTTTTTCAAAATTTTTTTTTAATTTTTTCGTATGTTAATTCATTGGATAAAGAAAATTTACAGTTTTATATGTTTTAAAATATTATTAATAGAAATAATTTGTTGCTTTTGACTTTTTAGATTCAGAAAATTATGAAAAAATGTAAAATTAGATTCAGATTCTTTACTCAATGCTTATAATTTGCAAGGTGCTGTTATTCATTTATTCTTCCACATAAATCAATTTCCAAGGCTTGATGCCGTATATTTTCTTCCTAATTGTTATTATTATTATTATTAGCACCATTCCTTCAGCTTTTTTATCTGAGGTGGCTACGGTTAAGAATTTTTGGTTTCACTTCTATTCTTCAAGTTTATCTTTCTCTGGAGGGAGAGACGAGTATCTTACCTACTAAGAACCTACAGATCTATACAAATAAACATCTGCTTTGTTTCCTTGTTTTATTCTAATTTTCTGTATCTTCTTGTTCTATCCCTGTATTCTGCAGCTCAAAGTTTATCAAATTAATTATTTATATTTTATAAAGTTATTTCACACAATTTTGAGATTTATACGCTATAATTTTTACATTTCTTCGTTATATCTTTTAATTTTTTATTTTAAATATCTTAGATTTTTTCTGTTGTTTTATTTTATAATCGAAGTTTTTTAACCAAATTGGAGAATTAGTGTCAAGTTGTACCATGTATCTACTTTCCATCACTCCACTGTTTTGGTATTGAAGAAAATTTTTTTTTGATTTTTCCGGCTTTTATTTTATGGAATCAATCATATGTTATGGAATCAATCAGATGCGTAATATGTTTTTAATTTCCTCTGTTTTCCATTCAGGAATTTTATTGTTCGACAAAAGTGTGCTTCATTGATTATTAGTGCAATAAGAAAGTTTGAGCAGAGAACCGGCTGCAGATGGAAGTGCATATAGATCTCCACCATCATTAGGATTTTTCAAAATACCTTTTTTTCGTCAAAGACAAAAACCTTGATGCTCGAATGAATCAAGAAATGTGATGAACTTTTCTTGACCCAGGTCTATTATGTGGCGAAAAAAGTGATAAGTATGGAAAATTTTTGATGATAAGGCTTTTCAATAGAGTGAATATTTTGTGTAATTTGAATATTTTGTTAAATTCCATCTCTTTCCTCGTAACTGAATTATGCCTTTAAAGGAATGAAAATACATAATTGTTGGAGTTTATATTGAGTTTATGTTATGCGAAAACAGGAAGGTAACATGTAACATGTAAATATATTTTCGTAGTTGAGATTCGTTATCCTATCCCTCCTTTTTTCAATCATTCATTTTCCTATCTCTTCAATTTTGCATGAGTTTTGAAGGCTACGTCCATTATTTTTATTTTATTTTTTAGATTCTTTCATTTTTGTATTCAAGTAATTCAGTAGGAGAATTTTTGCAATAATTTTCATAATACTATTATTTTTTTCTGTTGAAAATTTCAGCGTCATGCAAATATAAGAACTCATTACAATGGCCATCAAGTGTGTCGCAATAACGCATTTCGACCTCATCAACAAGGTGGACGCCAATTTAATAACGATAACCAATTTCGTGCAGCCCAATTTGCGGCTGTTAAAACACCAATTCCAGCAGCTTATTCAGGTGTTCAGAATTTGGCTACAAGACCGTCGATATTCAATGGATTGCAAATGAGGTCTGTATTTTGGATAATATAATGCTGGGACAGTTTGGCTTCATTGAATAGATGACCTTATTTTTAACCATTAGTCAAAGGGTTTAAAAGATTTGCAGAACTCCCGTAACAGCAGTAATCGCTCAGAGCGCGCAGTTTGCCTCTCATCCTGCGTATATGTTGGCTGGACAGAACCTCGTGCGTGCAAATACTGATTACCATGGTGTATGAATTTATGAAAATTTTCTGGACTTTCATATTTATTTTTTTGATTCTTACACTGATTTTTTGAAAAAAAGGATATTTTTCGCAAGTTTCTAATTCCGCAATTTATTTTTGGAAAAAGAACCATTAATTTCGATATTTTTAGGCTACATTCTTGAATAATCAGATTCGTCCGTCTAGTCACGTAAATTGTTGTAGATCTCCTGTTGCAGAAAATTTACAGCGAAATGCCCTTAGTTTGGTAAATTTGTATTTTTGATTTTAGTAGTTCCACGCAACGCATATAATCATTTGATCTGCTAAATTTTTTATTTTTTCTATGTATTTGTTAGAATGAAAATTTTTTTCTTTCTTATCAAGTGCAAATAAATATTTTAGACTAATGTATATATACGCGGTCTCCCAAGTAATACGACTGAACAAATTTTGCGTGAAATATGTGAACAATATGGAAATATTACAACAACAAAAACAGTTATCGTAAGTTTTATCGTATTTTAAGATTTTTAGAAGGAAGCATAATATTATCGATGCTTCTTTTTATGTACTTTTGTATACTTTTAAAAGTATTATTTTAGCTTTATAATTTTAGGATAAGGATACAAAAGAATGTAAAGGATATGGTTTTGTTGACTTTGATTGTCACACTTCAGCCCTCAACTGCATCCAAGGCCTTTCTCGAACGAATAAATATACTGCACAGTTTGCCAAAGTTGGCTTTAAAAATTGATTTGTTCATGTTGATATGAATATTGGTATGATATGGAGTTTTAAACTGCATTCTAAAATGAAAAGGAGCCCCATTATTAGTGAGAGCTTAGGTCGACATAACATAGATTACAAGAACATGTTACATATACGTAATCTTATCTAAAATGCATAACTGAGGGGAATTAGCCAAAGATATTTCAGCAACAGCTGCAAGATCCAACAAATTTGTATCTCGCTAATATACCCCTCGATATTAATGAAAGACAGCTAGCTTCTTTTCTGCGAACGTACGGTGTTGTTATTAGTTCACGGGTACTTAAAGAAAACGGGTTTAGCAAAGGAGTTGGTTTCGCACGTATGGATAGTCATGAAATCTGTGATAAAGTTATCAAGGTTCGTTGCTTTGTTATTGCTACCGCTTTTGCCTCAGAATAAGTGATACGATTGCTTATTGCTTATGGTTTTGCGCTAGTAGTAATAGGACAACGAATCGTTTGGTGTTTCTTTAAATGTTTTTCATCATTTTCATCACTTATTCATAACTTATTTGTTGCGCTTATTGTTTTAGGAATTAAATGGTAAAAAAGTTTTTCCTCAAAGTGATAAATCACTTATAGTAAAGTACGCAGATACAAGCAAAAAAATTAGAGGAAAGCAAATAGATGGACCTTCTGATCATCTTGCTGAATTTCCAGTATTATTTTATATTTTATTCGTTTTTATTTATTTTATTTTTGTTAATTGCTCATGAAGTTAGAAAATAAATAATTTATTTTAGTGTGTTTGTGTACCGAATCCAGAACATATATACACAACTTATTATCGTTCAAATCAGCCTAGTCTGCAATATTATTTAAATGCCGTTCCGTGTTTAGTTCCCTCTCCGGCTCAGTTCCCACCTGTTTTGTCAAGTACATTTTTTTAAAATGTAATTTTCCCATTGTGCAATTGGTTCGTTTCGGATTAAAACGGTCAAGTGTGTTTCAGATATTTCTTCTGATATAGCCATGGGGAATATAAATTCTCATATGCAAGCATTGTCTTTACAACCAATTAATCCAGGTATCCCATGCGAAATGGGGAATGTAGCACAATGTGTGGCAATTAATCAAGCCAGTGTTTCAAATGTCATGCCATTTCATTATCCGCCATTGCAGCCATATAATATACAGGTGATCGTTATTTACTTTTTGAGGTGATTATCTGCTTATATTGCAAGAAAGTAAAACATTGACCAGAAAAATTACTTGCAACATTTATAAGAATTTTTTCATTTACTTCACTCATTTTTTAAAAATGAAGATTTTCTGATTTCTAATTAATTAAAATAGGTAGCAATGTTTTTTTGTTTAATTAATTCATAGTAAAAAAGCCTTATAATTTTCTCTTAGTTTTTCGATGGAAAATCTATATTGAAAGTGTGTTTGTATTGGCAGTTCGTTATAAAGATTAAGATAAATTATTATTAAAACTGATTTTTGACTTAAATTTTACAGACTGAATCAAATATACCACGTTTTACGGGTACACCGCCTATAGCTTATATGCCTTCGGGCGATTTTCCACAAGAAGGATATACGGGTGCTATGTTTACCAATCAGCCACCACCAGCAGTTCACGGACAGCAGACTATTATTCCTGCTCCAGTATGCGTTTTGTCTGCATCACAGTTAGCAGTTCCAAATGATTCAAATCAAAATCAACCTTTATTACCATGCCATATACAACAAAATTCTATTCAACAAAATCAACTTCAAGACGCGCAAGTTCAACAGCAACAAAAGTCAAACCAAGTTCTTGAACGAAGCGCGGCTATTCATAACAAACAACAGGAATAATAAATATATCTCAGAAGAATTTCATCGTGCCTTTATTAATTGTGCTGGTATACTTCGAAATATACCAGTGTCTTTGATTAATTGCCTATCGCCTGAAATGCAATCTTTCATATTTGTTTGTTTCGGGTGCGTTACAATGCTAGAATAGATTTCAAATGTTTTCAGAGAGAGAACACTTCAGTTTTTCCTGCAAAGCATATTTTAATAATTTATTGAGCTGTTGGGGGAATTAAGCGCAAATTTTTAAAATTTAAGTGTATGCTCGAAGTAATAAAAGAAAGAGAACGGGTAATATTAATTAATCTCTTCATTCCTCAAAGAGTATTTATTGTGGAAAAATCATATTTTAAGGTTATGGATCCAATTGATACTCATTGATATTGTTGTTATTCCATATTGTTATTGTCTCTGATGGGTTGAATTTGAAAATATTGAATTTTTTTGGCAAAATCTTAACGGTGTCATTCATTTGCCGTAAAAATCAAAATCGATGATGTAATTTAAATGAGGCCAATTTTTAGAAAAAAAATGTTATTCGTCTTTACTCGTCATAATTCATTATTTAGAGCTTTCATCGCTTTATCCTTGTACTTTAAAATTATATATTTGTATAAAGATTACTGTTGTATAAATTTGAAATTGTAGTTTCGTGATCTGTGGGGAATTACAATTTCTACAAATTAATTTTATATACAAACACTTCACATTTTGCATTAAATATAAATATAATTATGAATAGGAATTTTTAAAAAGCTCCAAAAAAATATGCTGTGAAATCTTTATTTTGTATTTATTTTGTCCGATTGTTTTGTATGTAATGCATATATATTTCGTATTAATAGATTTATTGGTAATGTCATAGTGTGATGCTGAGAACTACTTTTCTGGGCCGATAAGGTTGGTGGAATTGTAGAGAATTTTTTAGATTGGCGGAATTAAAAAGTTTGAATGAGGCCAAAGGTTTCGATATGCTGGCCCTTTTTTTTATTATATTCTAGGTTTATGTTGATGTTGGTCACTCTTAATGAATTGTTGGAATAACAGATTGTCAACTGATTATTTTGTCTCCTCAATTTTCTTGTTTTTTTGAGCTTTTAAGCTTTCTTCGACGTAAGAGGCTTAAGATATGCAGGATTATTAGAGAGTCAGACAGGAAAATTTTGGTGGTGGTAAAAATGAATAGTTTAGGTTTTATCTGGTCTTTGCGCAGATTTTAAGTAAAGGTGGCCGTTTTTCAAATTTATTTATTTATTTATTTGTATCTATCATTTTAGCCTTTTTTTAGTAGTATCCTATGGCTGAAATTTTGTTGTAAGTTGATTCTTCTTGCGGGAAAGAATCAAAGTTCGTCGGGGATCGTTTTTTCGATGTATCGCTGGATCTGGTTAGGCCGTGTTTGCTTTTTATGGCTGATTTTTTTGTTCTGGCGAATGAGATCGTGAAGAATTCGTGCAAAATTTCGCTAATCTTTGTTGGGAAGTTTTGACATTGCAATCGAATTCAGATATCGTTTTTTATATGGAAAATTGCGTTCTTTCTTTCTATGTATATTTTTTTCATCTTGTATTTATATTTTGTTTTTTGGGCAATAAAATAAATTCCTAAGAAAAAAAGCTACTATGGATTCACTCGACGGTGACATTTGGCGTTTGCAGCTTCGAATGATTATTGGTGAAGCTGGTGGGTTGGCTAAAGTTTTGCGTTCGTCTAGTTTCTAATTTTGGTTGGAATTGTCTGAACAATTGTCACTAATGTAAATGATAGTTGATTAATAAGTGTTAAACCAACTGAATGCAAATATTTGTTAAGTGCGAATCGGTTTTGCGGAGTATCCGCTGTGGCCTGAGGCTTAGGTCTGACGCGTGGACGAAGTGAGGGGTCCAGAAATTCCAGTGAGTGGTTGATTCTTCAGTTAAATTTTTTCCGACTAATTGTCAAATGAACTCACGATGTCACTTTCATTCCGTTTAGAAAAAGAATGAATTGGGCACAATGAAACGAAGAAGTCATTCAGTTGGGTGGTCCTGAGAGGTTTTCGGTACTCCATGGGCATCGGAGTATTCCAATGGTCACAGTGACTTTTCGCGTTCGTTTTTTAGCTTATGTCTTTTCGGATCGTTTCTCGCTATAATTGCAGAATTGAATATTTTCTTCGAATTAGCACGACGCATAACTGAGTAATTCTCGCCGTTAATTCGCTTTGAAGTAGAATAGAAGAATTCTGAGATTTTATTTCTTTATAGTAATTAATTGGTGAGACGCAGGTCGTTTGTTATGTCACTAAAATAAAGTCGTTCGTCATTGCTTTGTTTCCATTCCTTGAATGGCACAATTTGCGAGTGCTTGGAGTTCATTTGTTCCTCAAATGACTTTCTTCCTAATAAACGTCTTAACTCGCTCGTCGCTGACTCGTCGCTTTGTTTAGAAGAGGACAGCCGAGGTACTGCGCAGAATCTCGCAGGCCTCTGGTGCAGGAGCCGAGGTTAAGGGTGATACTTACCACCCACGCGAGTGAGAAAGATATTGGTATCGCAGTTGTATTGGTATTGTCAAGCTTAGTCGTATGCAATGGTTGCTTCGTGCATCGATCGATTCGACTGCCTTCCAGGAGTAGACTTGACTTTTTACAAAAGGTTAAATCCGGGCGGGACACTTAACTGTTTTCCTAAGAGCTCCTTTGACAGGTGTCAATGGAACCAGTTCAACTAGTAATAGTAAATGCAAATAAAAGAGGAGAATATCGTGCGTATGATATATTTTAATATGTGAATCGTGTTATATCGGCTCCGATAGTAAAGAACTATGACGAAATTTTTCAGTGAAAATATCAATGTTAAAAGATAAACATAAAGATTTCGATTTTTTATTTCAAGATAATTTTTTTGAGAATAAATCTATAAAAATATATAAAATTAGTCTTGTTTAAAAAATTTTTTTAAATGGAAAATCAGCTTTGGCTGGCCGCTAAAAAAATTGTTTCATCTATGCAACTTCGAGGTATATGATGGAATTTATTTTTCCAGGTTGTGAATACACTCCTCTGATTATGAGCTGAGCACTGCGGGGCCTCCTATTTCATTAGTTGGCAAAAGGATATTATTTTAGCTATCATTAGTGGCAACCAAACTAGAAATGGTGAAATTTTTATGAGCATTTTTTCCATCAGAGATTCCTATAGATTTCATAGAATTAGAACCATTTTAAAGAGCTTTTAGCAAATTGTTCCGAAAATTATTTGCACTCATGCTTTATTTTGCAGCGACACCATCTGTCTCCATTTCAAACTATTTTAAATAGAGCTCCGCATCGCCTAAATTCGCTGAGATGGAATTTACATGAAATTTATCGAAAATATTCACCTTTAGTCGAAATATCTTAAGGGACTACATATGATAAAATGATTACTTACGCAGCATTTCGTGTATGAATGTCGCAATATTCCTGAAAAGCAAAGTTATTACATGTCTCTAAAGCCTGGGCAATCATTAGCAATCTCCAAGAAGAACCACCAGTGTAGAATCAGCTGAGATTATGGCGTGTTTAAAAATAGCCAAATAATTGCAAATACTATCGAATGGAACTGCCTCAATGGCTCCATGAAAAGATTGCCATTCGAGACTTGGATTTGAATCAGGTCTCACCGGTAGCGGCAGGAGAAAGCAGTGGAGAGTAGAATGGCTCAGTGGGTTGTTGGAGACTAACAATTTGAAGACTGAGGTTCTCGAGGTAGGATTAACCTACCTTGCAATAGTCCGGGTAGTGCTGCTGATTCACCTGTTACTGCTGCATATTTGTTCAACAAGCCAGCGGAACAAGTTTAATTAGCAATGGCGAATGCTCTTTAAAAAAAAAGTCAGAATGTAAGATGAAACGTAAGGAAAAAAGGCTCGAATTTTGAGTCTCAAGCAGTTAATACCAGTAATGAAAAAATTCAGCCATTACAAATTTGCAGAGCTATTCACGAGTGGCATTTAGAATCTATTGCCGAGACAGAATCCTCAATGAGCGAGATAGATCCACAAAAAATTATCAAAATTACCGAAGTTATTCAAGAATGGAATAAATTTAGAAACTAGAAACTAGAGATAGAAGATTCCTCCAAATAGAATGGAATAGATTTAACAGCTATTATTGAATGATCCAGGAAAATCCAGAAACTGCTATCGAAACAAAGTCCTCTATGTAGGAGGTATATCTAGCAATTACTGTAAGTCTTGCGAGTCCTGTGAGAATGAGTTAGGTCCAGAAACTAGTATCTAAATAAAGCTATCCACTGGTAGCAGGTCCAAAAATTGTTCTTGACACAGGTTCCTCTAGGAAAAGATCAGGTCCAGATCAGGTACAGTTGTCGAAATGGTACCTTCCACTTGAGAATTAAATCCAGGCATAGTTCTTGAGCCTAATGAGTTCTCCATAAACGAAATATATCAAGAAATTGTCTTGAAAGAGCCCTCCGCGAGGGGAATATGTCCAGCAGTCAGTGGCGTCCGCGAGTTGGGCTGATCCCGAAATTGTAATCATCGAAATATTTAGCTTTTCCATTAATGAAGCAACTCCGGAATTTTCGTCAGGTACGATTGTCATTTTAAAAAAATTTTTTGAAAATCTCATTTCTTTTCGATATTATATTTTGTTAGTTTTTTGTGAAATATACGATCGTAAAATTTTTTTTTCATTTTCACCAATTTTTTAATGAAATTGGAACGAAGAATTTTTTCTTTCTCTCTACTTCGCTGACCTTTCAACCTTTTTGCGTTGTTTTCTTTTCTTTTCTTTTATTTGTATTCTCTGAAACTTCGAATTTAATGTGAATTTATCTTTATTTCCTTTCACAAGTGAAATTCAATTCAACTTTATATAAAATTTAAGAAATTACTATTTGGATTTTCTTAAGTTATATTTTTTAAGGTTTGCAACTGCTCAGATTGCTTGAATCAGTTTTTGACCAAATGAATACCACAAATTAGTTAGCCAAAAAATTAGAATATGCCTTAAGTTTAAGTGGTCTGGAGATTCCTTATCTGATGATTGCGCGCAGCGCGCTTCTGTCCGATATTTAATCACAAAACTCATCCAACTGGTGAGCAGCCATCATTCATTGCATGAGGCGATTGACTGTGGTACTGCGTTCAATCGTCATAATTGTTTGGATTTAGAAGTATCTTAAAGCGACAATGCTTGGAACTCTGCCAATGCCATTTTGATCGGTTCGTCTTCAAATTTCTTTTTGATAATACTGTTTAGAAATTTGGTGAATTTATGGGGATTTTATTTTGGGGTCGAATATAATTAAAAGTCGCTGAAAGGGTTGTTTGACCAATTTCAGTGGCGAATAAATTTGTGGAGTTCTGCGGTTAGCGGGCACACGGCATTCCATTTTCTTGTTTTTGCACGTGCGTGAATCGAATGCATGCAAGCCTATTGCAGTATTGGACTGTTATGGTTCCATTATGTGCTATCGAGAATTGTACATTTATATATTTATTAAATTGAAAAAGTGCACTGAAATGCATTTACTAATTTCATATTCTTTCTAGCCGAAAGCGCGTTTTTTAATTTTTGGTCCGAAAAATTTTAGTTTGGGTGGAAAACCATGGATACTACGACTGATCCTCAGCTCGCGAATTTTCTGAAACAACTTCAGCTCGAAGCGCAGCGACAAAAAATTTCTGAACAAGTAATGTTTTCCACTTCTGCTTCAACACCTGTCAAATTTTTTTTCGTAATTCGTAGTAGAATAGAATACACTAAATGGATTATTTGAAATACCAGTATTAATTTTTCATTGGAAGGGTGGCGATGGCGACCCACGTGCACTGTGATTCCCTATCGAAAGGGTTTTATCGTAGTCAGTACAGCGAAAAATAGCAGATGTTGTAACAAGAAGGATAGTTTCAACTGGGTAAGCGGAATTGTTTTTTTGTAATTTATTAAGATTTAAGGTTCAAGCATTGACATCGAGATGCTGGGACATTTGCATAGGTGATTATCGGCCACCTTCGAAAATGGACGGGAAAACAACGACTTGCATTAACAACTGTGTTAACCGAATGATAGATGCGAGCAATTTCATGGTGGCACATCTACAAAATATGCAGAAATTATCTTGAGCAGTTTAAGTTATTTTTTTTTCAAGAAATAAATGATTAAAATAGTTAATTAATTAAATAGTTATTTAATTATCTTATGATTTCTAACTGTGATGGAATTGAAAGATTTATTTTCATTATAACATTAACGCGCATTTTCATAATTACTGAAGATTTATCGATTAGTTTATATTATTTATTATATTAAAACTTTAAGAAATTCGTTAGCTTTTACGATGTTCTGATGGTTGTTATGGGTCTCTTTTTTTAAATTATTAAATTTTTTTAGTATATAATTTCTTATTATAAAATTTTTAAAAAATTAAAAATTTGAAGCTCGACAATATTTTTCAATGAAATAAAGTATTTTTTTTGCTGTTGGATAATTAATTGAATACTCAAAGAATTTTTTGCCTGGGAGTCACTTAGGAGCAAAGTATAGTTGCGTCTTCAGCGACACCTGTAGTATACTTTTAATGGCATCTTTTAAAGGTCGCAAGTCGAATCTATAACAAATGATTTGTTCCAGCCGGTCATCCTGCCTTAATTTGACAAAAACGATAATTTTTTATAAAATTTGACTTCATCCGATTTCAATTTTTTTTTAAGTGGAGGAATGTTGAAAAATTGATATTTAGTTTGGCTAATTTCGGCATATAGTATTCAGTTTTGCCATATATTTCTTTATTTTGTTAACAATGTTAACAATAATTTGTTAACAATAACAATGATAGAAGAATTTTTATTTACATACTATAAACAACTAATAGACTGGTCAACTTTGAGGATTAAATTTCAAGCAGGATTTGAAATTTTAAAATGAATGATTAACGATAGAAAGATGACTAAAATTTGCGAATTGTTCAACTGCGTAGGATTTGTCTTGGAGGTTTGATGATTTGTTTGAATCTTTTGCTTTGAACGTTGCATTTGATTGTCCTCATTCCTAATGTTGGTCAATTTTCCTGGCTTTGTTGCAGTCCGTAATGGTTCCTTTTGCAGAAAAGTAGTCTGTTTGAATTCATTGTTCACAGGTCTATATATTTTAACATTATCATGAGCCGGTTCATCCATTTTGCTATCCTTTTTTTCCTTCAAAAATATTCATTATTAATTTTTTAAAAATTTTGAAGATTTGTATAAGATGAAAATGAAATAATTCCAGAACTTCCCAAATGGTTTTTCCTGCATTTAATCTTGTGCTTTCAACATCGCCGATCATTGCTGTGTTAGCTTGGCTAAATCCTTTTGAACACTTGGGAAGAGAAGGATGAGAATGAGGAATTTGATATAATTTAGATTTAAAGTGATTTTTGATTCAATTTTATAATTCAAAATTTCATTTTACGTTCTCTGCTTTTTTCAGGTTCCAGATTTTAAGAATTTTGAATTCCGCATCCGGTCCTCATATTCCCGGAAAAATTTTTGGTGCTGAGGTCTTTTTAAAAAACTTTGAATTCTTTATTTGGATGCATTTTAAATTCTACGTGCATGCATTTTTTACACATTTTGATTATCATAGATGATTCAAAGTTTAGGAAATATTACTTCTATTGGAAATTTTCTTAAGTCCATTCGTGGTAGGTTCATATCGTTTGAAATTGCCTGGTCCATCTCTGGCTTCTGCTTCTTCCTTGCATTGCCAGTAAACGTACAACTTGGCATTAAAGTATTTGTCGTATCTCTTAAAACTCTATGGATAACTGTCCATGCCGATACTCCGCAGTTATGTCTGATTGGTAAACGTACACAGCCAGAGAAAAAATTCAAAGCACTGAAATGAACTTTTTTCTAAATGAACTTTTTTTAAATTTTTCTTGCATGTTTTGACCATGTTCGCTCAATACAATCTAGTGTTTTACCAAAGAAGTTCCTTTTAACAATAGTCACTATTTCTGGCTTGGTTTCTTGTGCTGAACTTTTATCATTAAGAGGTTGAAGTCAATGGCTTTATCTTAAAACAAACTGTTTTGCCATTCTGGATAAATGGATTAGAATAAATTCTAGACAAATTCTTTTATTCTTCAAAATTCTAAATTAGGTTCTTCTAGAATAGAATAAATTCTTCTTCATGACTACGATCTTCTTCTTCTAACAGCTCTTACCATTACTGGTTAGGCTGGCTTCAACGGTTACAAGGGTAAGACGCTTCCAAGTGGTACGGTCTGATCCTATCGTCGACAATGCTGGTCCACCTATACGTTCAGAATGTTTTCTGATTGTATCAGTCCAGCTCTACAGGTGGTGTTTGAACGAAGGTGGATGCGATCATATGATATTTTATCCGATCGACGGAAAATATACTTTAAACAGGAGTGGTCAAAGGCAGATGATTTCTTAATATTCTCATTGGCCATATCTCAGAACCATATAGCAAGATCGAACGAATCACGGCTATATAGATGCGGACTTTTGTTTTTATGGTGATTTCACGACGATTCCATAAAGGTTTTATCAACCGGAAGAACGTATTTCTAGCTGCCGTGATCCGAGTTGTAATATCACCTTTTGCCTGTCCATTTGGTATTAGAATGGACCTAAGGTATTTTAAATCGGGCACCTCGACCGGCAATGAATTTACAAAAAGAGGCATTTTATCAGTTTCTTGTCATAAGACAAAAAGACTTTCGTTTTGTATACATTGACCCTGAGTCCTGTTCTTGCTGCAGTTTCTGACATCTTATTTAGCATTACTTACATTTCGTTTTAACTGTCAGCAAAATGGACTATATCATCAGCGTATTCAAGATCTGTGATACGATGCTCTGGACTGATTTGTACATCCCTTGAGTGCTAACAAGCGATGTCCATTACCCAATCTGTCGCATAGTTGAATATTATAGAAAAAAGGACACAACTTTGAGGAAATCAGTTATTTCGAAGGATTAGTTTCCCGCATATACAGATTTTCTCCGACGTACGCTCATAAAATGTTTTTATGAGTCGAAAATTCTCTGGAATACCGTCGCATTCCACCACCCTCCAGCGCCTTTCAATTGGATCAAAATCGATGAAACTGCGTGACAGTGGGTTGCAAATATTTGAAACGATGTTCTAAAACCCTTCTTAATGTGAGTTTCTGGTCAGCACTTATGGAAATACGGGACAGCAGGATGCGCCCTGGTCTGAAACCAGTTTGATTAGGGCGCATCCTGCTATCCCGTATTTCCATAAGTCTGTTGAATAAAAGGGAAGCAAAAATTTTCGTTGAAATGTCTAGTAGGTTGATTTCTCGATAAATGTCGCAATTTGTCCTATCACCTTGAGAATTGGGAGCAGAATTGCTTTGCTCCAATCATATCTGGTAATATTTCTTTTTCCCATACCAGAGAATACATTTGTTGAAGGTGTTTTATGAAGAACGATGGACAACATTTAAAGAGTTCAGCCAGAAGACCATCTTCTCCGGAGTTTCGGAGTTTTATTGGCCTTAAGCTTATGGATAACAGATATTATTTATTCTTCAGTCGGGGTCTCGCAAGTCGCAAGCATATGGTTCAGCGAACATATCAATTATATCAGGGGCATGACTACGATCAATTTATATAGACTTGATTTTCTTATGAATTTCGGAGATTTCTAATCTTACCATTATCATTTTTTGCGATTAAGAGTAGATAAAGCTGCATTTTCAATATACTAGAAAACTTACTCGCACATTCTTTCCAATTTCTGTGCCATCGTTAGTGAAGTATCTCTATTAGCTCGTTCAATATCAATTAGTGTTTCATCATGGCAATGTTTTACTGAAGGTCGTTGATCTAATTCCATAAGGCATTCTGCATTTCTCATAAAAACTAAAAATTTCAAGAATTTACAAGAATTTGTAAAAACATATGGTTATTGTATATCTGAAACGAATGCACTTTAGGTTGTCCAAGGTCATTGATTATGGATAAACATGAAAAGTTATTTGAAGCTGTTTTAGGCTCTTATTTTATTTTTCATATCATAGTTTTCCTTTTACTTCATGGTGATTTTGTTGGTTTATGGTTTGCGTTTAATATTTAACACTATTTCCTGCTATTCTGTTGCCGAGTTAAAATCCGGAAATGAAAGTACTTACTGTCATAACCATCATTACAAAGGAAGCCATAAGACGCATCAACTAGGTTAATGGTTATATGCTTTGGGCATTGTTTTCGATGTTCCAAAACGCACTCATCAAACGCTCGAATAAGTCTGAATTATATCAAATAATGAACGTTTTTCATCCTTGAGACTTGGCTAAGGGACTTCATTTTAGCCAATGAAGCGAGCATAGCCAGAAATATATTGACTTAACATTACATTAACATTACATTTATATTACATTTTTATATTTACATTTACATTTTTAATTATATTTTACATTTATAATTACATTCTACATTTTAAATTACATTTTTTGTCAATAAATTATTAATGCCGACCTTTAGAGTGCTTTACTAGAACACCAAAATCTTTGCTTTTTTTTTTTAGAATTTGTTTAAATTCTAAAAAATAGGAGGCTGAAGCCATCAGATTAGGCGTTTATTATTTCATTACTGTTATTATTTCCTTTATTTCCTTTATTATTTCCTTTGTTTAAATTGAATTCAACTTACTCGCAGAGATCCTTGAATACTTGGCGACTAATTTTTGGTATCGATAAGGCTTGATCGAAATCTGATGAACCACTTTGAATGTTTTCCTTGAAAATGGCATTAAAGGCATGCAACGGTCAAATAAGATGAGGTATTAGGAAAAAACTTAATTAAGAATTTGTTTTTTCTAATACAAAATACACAATAATGTTAAATAATAAACATTAAATAATAATGTTAAATAATAGTAATAAATAATAACCTTATAAATTATCAAATTTTACTTGTCGATCATTTAAAAATTTAAGGAATTTTTTTATTGAAATATATTTGTTCGACCTTCGTAATAGTAAAATAGATTTCTTTTTCTTTATTCTAAGAGCACTGCATTGCTTGTGCTTATTTCGCAGGCTTGTTAGACCAGATAAATTTTTCTAGAGAGTTACTCGCCGATAGAACTACAGTCGCCAGCATTGCTCAGTTTTTTGGAGGAAAGGTCCACTCCTGCTGGAGCCTTAGCATCAGTATTCCAAACTGTGCAACCCACTGACATTTTAAAGTTTCTCCTTTAAAGTTTCATAATATTGATATTAACTTGACTTGCGGTTTAAGGGTTTGGAAAAGATTCGACGTTTCACTGAGTGGTTTATTAATGTAGGTTTGATGCACGAAAGCAAGCAATTTAACCATCCCATGCTTAAGCTTTATAGAAAAGTGGCATATTTCATAGTTGCTTTTTAATTATGATATTCTAATACTGATAATAAATATTTAAGGAACATCTGTTGTTTTAAAATCAACTTTACATTAGAGTTTTTGGATGGGTAAATTGATGCTTTAGTACAAGCAAACCAAAAAAGCATTACAATAATATAAAAATTTTAAAAAATTTAAGCCTTTTTCTATGTAACAAAATTGGCCAGAAATTTTGCTAACGAACGCATTGCCAAAATATTAAGCAATAAATTAAAGTACAATGTAAAATGAATGACAGAAATATAAGAAAAATAGAAAAAAAATAGCCAAAAATGATTTATAACAAATTCTTCAAAAAATATGGGAACCTTAATGCAATTTCATTATTAAAGCAACGATAAAGCTGAACGAATTGTTATGCACAGATTTATAATTTCACAAGGTAACCATGATCCGAATGACATACCAATGTCCTCGCTGTAAATCCGAATTCGAGCAAGATGAATGAGCGAGTATCTCGTTCACTTTTTGCATGTCACTTGATGTCCCCATGTGGGGAAGGCTCATGGTACTTTCGCTCTTTAATTTGTATCCATATCAGCTTCTGGTGATTATCTGACTGAGATGATTTAGATATATACAGATCAATAGTGCATGGAGGCAGTGCATCCTTGGTATATACCGCACTTGATAGCTGTTTGTGCAAGATGTTTTGAGTTAATTTCAACAGTCTCATTGAGTTCTCAGTGAATATCTTTAGGGTCATGTTGACTTTGCATAGATCCAGACGTTCACACATTCATGCGTGGGGCACTGAGTCATAGGCTTTCCTTTAATCAATCCAAGCTGCATACAGATTGGTCTGCCGGGATTTTAAATCTAGAGCGACCGTCTTATCTATGAGCAGTTTGGAGCCTCTGGTATTGTTCAATGCCTTTTTGAATTGCCCTTATATACTGGCTCATATGTTCATGAAGCTTGCTGATTATAATACCAAGATAGAACTTTCCATATAGTAAGTAGGAATTTGTTTTCATACTGTTTATACCGTTCTTCCTTGTGTTAAAACCAGTCTGGATGAGAATGCGTAAGTGATGTTAGGCGCTCTCTATGACCTTCTTTAGCCGATAGGTGTGGATCATGTTCAGACAAATTGCTGTTCAACTTTCCATGTTTTGAATTGTTGTTGGATGTCAGCAACTGTGATGGTTGCTGGTTCCTATGTTTGTTGTGACTTGTTCCCAGATCTTGCAGCCATTTTGCATTAATAATATTATGAATATTAATATTATGAATCTTCTCCCATATATTCTTCCAGTATTATATAGTGCTGTTGGTGATTTACACCTTGGACGATACCTTGGAGAACAGGGCATTTGTCTTTTTAATCTCCATTTTCTTGACCAATCACTGCAGATCGATCACTATATATTTATGCTTACCCAGACTATTGAATTGTTTATCCATGCAACGGACAATGCAATGGATGATAGATATATCTGTTGATTCATTGACGGCGAGAGAACAATGAACAAATCCTAAGCCAATTTTCAGATCATTTGCAATATTATTTCCATAGATTGTTTGAACTCTCGCTTAGCATGTTCGGAAATTTCCGTCTTTCTGTGATTTAAAGCATCAACAAATCACGATTATTATCAAATGATTGAAATACGACCTTACGCTTCAAATTTTGGCATACAGCTTCTGTGGCATGCGTTAATTCATCATTGTATTAAAAATACCTTAATGGCAATTTTTGCAATTAGCAGAAATACATCGAAGAAATTTTACTTCAGGGCCATTTTAGATGCATCAGAAAATGAAATGGTTCATTTTGTTGAGTTGTTGGTGAATGAATTAGAAAATTAATCTTTTGTGTCTTTAGGGTATTTTTATTTTTTGGAGAGGATTAAATCTATTGATATTTTTATATTTTTTGAATATTTCGTTGAAATCTAAGTGTTTTGGTGTCTCTTTGCATTCTTCTGGCATTCCAGTTTGGAATAATGCATAAAATTTCTGTCGAGTAATAAAGTAGTACCTTCCAGTCTACTCAGCCCAAAATTCCCTTCGCTTTTTCATTTAGGCTTGGTCGAAATATTTTTGCTAATATTAATAAGACGAATTAAAGGGCAATGCAAAATGAATAATTTAAAACTAAAAAAAAAATTATTAAATAAAATTAAAAGGTTCTACAGAAGGAGACTCTTTTTCCAAATATTCAAAATTTCGTGGCAAACCGCATTGTTTTTTAAAACAGGACGTTGGTTCTATATCATGGCCTTATCCGATCTTGTTCTCTGCTGGATTTGACTCTCATCTTGTGTTTTCAGTTTATTATCCCCTCAGTGTTATAAGATTTAATCACTGAATGTTAAGAGAAATTAAGTTAAGCATAAGCATAGTACTTTCTTTTTCTAATAGAACGCGCCATTCATGGTTTTGCTCACTCCACTGATTTTTAAAATAAGGTCCTTTCTCCAGAGATATACTTCATTCCCTATGACAGATTTGTTCTGCTAACGACAACCATGCTTGTTCTTTGCCTCAGCAACAATGATTTAACCATGATTTAACTTCTTTCCGGATCTCAGCGCGCTCAGCGTACTCGATATTTATGCCCATAATTTCAAAATATGGTATGGCTTCAAAGAATCTCAAATGAACCAAATTGGATTCGCTTATTAAAACTTTGGAATGGCATACAAAACGGAATTTTTCATTTACAAAGGCCTCTCAGTTCACAGCATTTTGGAATTTGCTTAAATTTTCATTGGAATGCAAAATTTTCCTCTATGGAAAAAAAAAAGTTTAAAAACATTTAAAAGTGAGCAGAGCTAGAATTTTTGCTAAAAAATCCATATAGCATAATAAATGCTGCATAATTTTCGATGGTTAGTTAGTGCTTAGATTCGCGCCGACCGTCATAGGTTCGATTCTCTGATGCGTCACGAATAAACCTATTGTTACAGAATTCGCTTGTAAACATCTATCTTCGCACTTCTATCGCCAAGTAATTGCGGATCTCCGGCAAAAATCTCTAACAACCTGTGGCGCCTAATCATTAATTATGAGATTTAACTAGTGTTTGTGTTTGTGCATCTTGGAATGCTTCTTGTTGTATGGTTTCACGAATAGTACCATGGCTATAAAAAATATTTTATTAATGCCTTTCCCGTCAAAAATACCCGTCAAAATAAATAACATCCGTCCGTCAAAAAATATAAGCAAAAAATATTTTGATTATAGACAAGGAATCGTTTCTTTAATTTCATTATGCTTTTTCAATGAAAAAAATCCGATAAAAATTCAATTAAAAGCTATCGATGCAAATTTTAATGGCCCTTTTTTCGATGCAACCATAAATGATGGATTTTTTTCTAAAGACTATCCATCTTTTCTCACTTAAATGAGAGTTGGCAAAATTACAAGGAAGAAAAGACTTCTCTTCTGATTAAGGATTATCAAAATTATAAATTGATTATCCAAACATAATTTTGTAACAACAAAATTATGTTTCGATTCTTAGCCTTATAGAGAACCATTATCATCCAGCTTTTCCAGTGATAGCTCGTCTGTCCCAAGCAGAGTGCGAAGCTTGCCACTGGCAATCTATGTAACAGTTCTGCCCCTCACAAATCATATAAACCTTATAAATGATCGATGCCATTCTTTAATTACCATTGTCACTGGTCAGAAAATATAATCAGCGCCCATCGCTAGAAAGTAAAATGCATGTAAGCCCAGAGCTCCGTAACCAGACCTTTTTTTCTATCGAATATCCACACGAAAAATATTTTTCCCCATCGATCCCTTTAGGATTTTTGTTATTTCCGAAAATTTTGTGTACTATATTAAGTGAATAAACAACTAAATTTTTTGAAATGCTAGAAATTTACGAGATTTTATTTCAAGGAAAATTTTTTGTATAAATTTATAAATAAATTATGAATTTATAAATTAAATTTTATAAATTTATATATAAATCTTTTAAAGGAAATTCCTGGGTACTTACCTGATTGAAACTAGTTTTGTCTGCAAACATTTTTTAGCACAACAATTATTACATAGTTTGAAAAAATTACGAAAATATAATACAAACACAAATTATAGTGATTAAGTTTTAAAATACAACATACGACAAACGTGAATTCGTAATTTTTTTCATCAGTGTAATTTAAAATTATGAGAAATTTTCAAAAAATGTGCAAGTATTTAATTTATCACTCGGTTGCTAATCCCTCTTCTAGCCAATATCGGCAAACGATTATTCCAGAGGAGTTTTTAAATCTGGCTGATAAGCTGACTGACAAAATTGCATTATTGCATTTCACTGAAGAAAACCTTATAAAAATGCAGTGCAAATGGTAAATGTGCTACCTGTTGATTCAGTGATTTAGCATAATTTGCTACTGGAAATACACATTGTTGTATTTTTTCGTTGATTTGTGGTGGACAATGTGGTGGCGAACAAACACTGTTGATGAACAAAAGCCAGACTAAATAATATATTAACATAATTTTCTTGTAAAATTTTATCATAACATTTTATCATAACACTTTCGCCATACAATTAATAGAAAAAAAAAGAAAAAA